CAAACATTTGAACACACATTACAAAAAATACAAATTCATATTGAGAAATAGTCAGTCTCAAAGCATCTTTATTTAATCTTATCTTTCATTTTGCTGCTACTGATGTATGTATGTTTGTTTGTATGTTTGTTTGTTTGTTTGTTTGTTTGTTTGTATGTTTGTTTGTTTGTTTGTATGTTTGTTTGTATGTATGTGTATATATATGTGCGTTTGTTTGTGTATATGTGAGTATGTACGTACGTTCATACATACATACGTACATGTGTGTATGTATATGTTTGCTTAAGTCATCATCATCATCATCATCAACAACAACAACGACATCACGTGACTCTCAGATTATGACGTCAGAGGTCTAGTGAGGGATTTTATTGGTCAGCGGAAACGGAAGTTGGTAGGAGGAGAAATTACTAATTTTATTTTATAATCTTTGGTACATTGTTGTTGTTGTTGTTGTTTATATTGATGTTATAACAACATCAACAACATTGTAACCGCGATTCAGTTTGCGACCATAGCTCATAAATATAATACATTTATACAAATTTATGCTAACAATCAGACAAACAGACAGACAGACCGACATTTATAAAATAGGGAAACAGATAGACAGAGGAACATATAGACAGATAGATAGAGAGAGACTGAGAGAGACAGACAGAGAGAGAGACAGAGAGAGAGAGAGAGACAAGGGTTGTGTATGTTGTCATCAATCATTTATTCTTCTTCGTCTTTTGACATCTCATGCGTTCCCTCTGTCATTTCAATTTATTATTATTGTTATTATTATTATTGTTGTTGCTGTTGTTGCTGTTAACAAAACTGTCTCGTTTTTATTGTCAATAATAATTCATTGTTTTTTTTATTTATATATAAGATTATTAATGAAACAGAAGTAGTAGTAGTAGTCGTTGAAGTAGTAGTAGTAGTAGTAATAGTAGTTGTAGTAGTAGTAGTAGTAGTAGTACCAGTGGTAGTGGTAGTAGTAATGCCATAATGATTGTAATAGTGGTTGTTTAAGCCGTTGCTTTCGTTAATTAATTTATGAATTTTCTTGTTATAATGTTGTTGTGATTGTTGTTGTGATTGTTGTTGTTGTTGTTGTTGTTGTGGTTGTTGTTGTTGTTGTGATTGTTGTTGTTGTTGATGTTGTCAATGTGGTTGTTATATATGCACTTAAACTTATTGAAGTTAACGTCGAACTTTTATTCTTCGATAATAATAGTTCTCGTTTGTCTGTTTGTTTGTTTGTTGGTTTTTCTGTTTGTTAGTTAGTTTGTTTGTTTGTTTGCTGGTTTATTTGTTGGTTTGTTTGTTGGTTTGTTTGTTTGTTTGCTGGTTTGTTTGTTTGTTTGCTGGTTTGTTTCCGGTTTCTGTACAAACAACGTTCAAGCTGCTTTAACAACAACGATAGCTACAATAACATTTATATAAATACCAACAACACTGATAATAATAATACGCCAAAAATAACATTTCCTGATGTTATAATGTTGTTATTATTATTATTGTGTGTGTATGTGTATGTGTGTGTGTATGTGTATGTACGTGTGTGTTCACAACAGTCATTAAGTTACAGCCCGTGTGTGCAATGATTATGTTGGTAGAGTTGTTCGTTTGTAATTCCACTTTTTGACTCGATACGCTCTAATGAATAAGTTCATTTATTCGTTCATTCATTCATTCTTTCGTTCATTCATTCATTCAATCATTTACTCATTCATTCACTCATCTACTTACTCGATCATTCATTTATTCATTTTTACCAACCAATCAGCGTCCGTCATCCATAAGCGGGATGTCCAGTAACACACCGACGACAAACAACAACAGCAGCAGCAGCAACTTCCACAGCCACCACCACAGCCACCACAGCCACCACCACAACAACAACAACCATGATGACGTGCAGTCGACGAGAAGCGACGACACGCCGGGACCGCACAGCCACTCCAACAACAACTCGCACAGTATTGGCGACAACAACAGCGAAACCGGTTATTATTATTTTTTTTATTATTAATTTTTTTATTATTATTACTATTTTTATTGTTGTTGTTAGGTGTTGTTGTCGTTATTATCATTAACAAATTTCAAACATTTCGAAGTTATCTGCTATAAAAATATTGATCGCTGTGTCCCAAATGTAATGCAATGTACGTGTGTGTGTTCATACATGCGTGTGTGTGTGTGTGTGTGTGTTCATACATGCGTGTGTGTGTGTGTTCATACATGCGTGTGTGTGTGAAATGTCTCAAAATAAATTAGAAACAGCAAGAGTTAATATTGAAAGCAGGCTTTCTTTGTTCGATCTGTCGGGTGTTTGGTTGGTTGATTGGTTGGTTGGTTGGTTGGTTGGTTGATTGGCTGGTTGGTTGGTTGATTGGTTGATTGGCTGGTTGGTTGATTGGTTGGTTGATTGGCTGGTTAGATTGGTTGGTTGGTTGGTTGGCAACAGTTAACAATTTTTTAACATAATTAACAATATTGACAACAACATCAACGACAACTACAACAACAGCATCAACAACAACATCAGTAACAACAGCAACTTCAACACATTCTTGAATGCATGTTATTAACTTACGCCTCTCTTTTGTTTCGCAGACATCATTCACAACAACCTGCAATTAATGCTTTATGAATAAATTTCTCGCTTTACCATTATGTATATGTATGTCTGTGCGTATGTCTGTGTGTTTGTCTGTCTGTGGATTTGTCTGTCTCTGTTTGTCTGTCTTTGAATGTGTCTGTCTGTGTTTGTCTGTCTGTGTTTTTTTAGATGTCTTTGTAAATAACTGCCATTTTTTGGTTTAAATACACACATACACACATATATTCATAAACGTATGCGTACATACGCACACAAACAAACAAACGAACAAACAGACAAATAAACGAACGAACAAACAAATAAAGATAGAAAGATTGAGTTGGGCGGCGGCAGGCCAGCTTGATAACCTTATTATGTGAGGCGTCAAACATTTTAGGTCGGGTCAGGGGTCATTTATCGAATTGAAACTTATATGGCGAACTCTCTTGTGCTCTTGATAATGATGATGTTGGTGGTGATGATGATGGTGTTGTGATGATGATGACGATGATAACTTAATTGTTCTTTTATTAATTTGTGCATTAAAAAATATGACATTTTCATTTACGTCTTACAAACAGCATTCATTCATTAATTCGTACAATTATTCATTCATTCATTTGGTTTACTTAGTCATTCGTTCATTCATTCACTCGTTCATTCACTCACTCACTCACTGGCTCATTCATTCATTCATTCGTTTTTGATAGAAGATAATGTTACAGGGGAGTTTCTTTTCATAATTGATGAGCATAAAACTGACGGCGTTAATGATGATGATGGTGGTGGTGGTGATAATGATGCTGTTGAAGATGCTGATAAGAATGAAGAAGAAGATGATGATGATGAAGAAGAAGAAGATGATGATGATAATAACATTTTAATGGCGATGGAGATCAGTTGATAATGCACATTGATGGTTAAGTTGAACTGCAGCGTATCGAACGCCATGCTAGATAAAGATGAACGCCATGTAAGATAAACCATCAAACCATCAAACAAACAAACAAACAAATAAATAAACAAACGTTCACACATATACTGAGAAACACACAAACATACAAACGAACGAACGAACGAACGAACGAAAAAACAAGAGAACACCACCTGTTTGCAATATCATTTACGAAATCTCATCATAAGCCTGCTAAACAAACACACACACCATCTCGCATCTGACAAACACACACACCATCTCGCATCTGCGTTGCCTCTCTCTCCCTCTCTCTCTCTTTCTCTTTTTCTTACTTTCTCTCTCTCCCTTTATATTTTTCCTCTCTTTCTTTCTGGTATTTAAAATTTTTAAAAACATTTTAACTCAACCACAACCGTTTTCACATTTATTCTCAGCAGAAATTGTTTGGACATTGTCATCATCATCATCATCACCATCATCATCATCATCATCGTCGTCGTTTATCATTATCATCACCACATATCATCATCATCATCGCCATCATCATCATCATCATTTATCTCGTAAGACGAATCAAGTGGTTTCATATCTGTACAGCTAAGGGCATTTGAGATGCTTGCGAATGTTATTATGTGAATTTCTTCTCTCTCTCTCTCTCTCTCTCTCTCTCTCTCTCTCTCTCTCTCTCTCTCTCTCTCTCTCTACATGCATGCGTTTAACGAAATATGCTACCACAATGTGTGTATTTGCATATTTTATGATATTAATGTATGCATTAGAATATATATGCCTCTTCATCGGTGGCAACAATCCAACAAACAACTGACAACGTGTGAGCAAGTTTCTTGTTCTCCATCAGACTCGTTCTTTCATTTACCAGTGGTACTACCCTCATAAACATCCAACTTACCTATGGACACCAACAATTGTTCCCACACACAGCACAACACATACACACACTCAGATACACACAGACAGGCAGACACACACACATACACAAACACAGAGAGAGAGAAAGAGGGAGAGAGAGAGAGAGAGAGAGAGAGGCAGACATTCAGTGCACAGGAAGACCATCAATCATTGCAAAATTTACCTGCCACTTCGACTAGCATGATTATCCGGTCAGCCTTTGATCGATGAAGGAATGCAGGAACGAAAGAAGGAACGAAAGAAGAAATAAGCAATAAAAGAATGAATTAATGAAAAAAATGAAAAAGTGAATAAAGCGAGAAAATTAAACAAGAGAGAGAGAGAAAAATTAACGAAAAATCTTAAAATAATAAGCTCAAAAATATATGAATGAGTGAATGAATGAATGAACGCGTGATTTAAAGATTGGATGAATGAATGAGCGAACGAACGAACGAACGAATGAATGAATGAATGAATGAATGAATGAATGAATGAATGAATGAATGGATGAATGGATGAATGAATGGATGAGTTAGCAAGGATGGGCATAAATTGATCAACATTCATGAACCGAAATCAAATTTGAGCGATGAAATGATTGAAAAATGAACTGATAAAATTTATAACAACAACAATAATAATAGTAACAAAGATAAGAACGACGACGATGATGACGATGATGATGATGATACGTTGAAGATTGTATCAATTACAGTTTAGCTTCGAGCTTTGCTGACCTCTGACCTTCGTTCATTATTATTATTATTATTTATTTATTTATTTATTCATTGATTTATTAATTTTTTTATTTAAATTAAAATTTATATGAGCAATAAAATGGTAATTTGTTAAGCAACGTTATTAACGACATTAATGATAATAATGAATAAGATCAGGGTTAGGGCGAACTTTTTGCTGTGAGGGCTCCATTGAGAACTATTATACCTTTGAAGGGCCGCATTGAAAGCTATTTTATCTCTGAAGGGCCGCAATTGTACTTAAATGGCACATTTTATCGACCCGGTGGAGAATTTTTTAGATTTGCGGCTCCTTTTTCTGGTCATAATGTCTGGTCTCGCTGACAACCTTTTGTGGCGAGCAGTTTGCCCACCCATGAGTTAGATGATGATAATGATGATGTTGAGATGATGATGATGATGATGAGGAGGTTGGTGATGATAATGATAGTGGTTGAAGGATGCATTTAAGTTTTGAATAATGGTTCGCATGATGGCATGTGACAGTTGCTGAAACTAAAAAAAACTGTTGATGATGTTGATGTTTGTGATGATGTTGTTGTTTGTGTTGATGTTGTTGTTTGTGTTGATGTTGATGTTGTTGTTGTTTTTGTTGATATTGTTGATGTTGTTGTTGATGTTGTTGTTGATGTTGTTCTTAGAAGATTGGATCTTGCAGTTTGCGTATCAAAGATGAACTCCACATAAAGCTACCAACAAACATTTTTATGTGCATACATGCATTCCTGATTGAAACGTATTTGTTGTACATACTTGTACACACAATGCACTCACTCGTGCACACAACAGAATGCATAATTCATCCAGTAGCAATCCTCCCATTAAATTCACAACCATCCAACCAATCTTCTATTGGACACTGCTGCGTGTACAAACTTGTACCCGTGTTTGTGTGTGTGTGTGTGTCTCTCTTTTTCTCTCTTTCTCTCTTTCTCTCTCTCTTTATGTGTGTGTGTGTGTGTGAAAATGCATAATGCATCCTTACATGTTGAAACATGTACACATGTGTATATGTGTTGCGTGTATAGAATGGAATGCATGTAAGCATTGAAAAACAAGAAGCCAGCTGAATTGTTGGCAGTCTTTTTTGGGCCGGAAACGGAAGTGGAGACACGGAATTGCTCCTAAGTATATGTGAGGGTGGTCGGTTGATGCTGTTGTTGTTGATGTTGTTGTTGTTGTTGATGTTGTTGTTGATGTTTTTCTTCTTGTTCATGTTGATGTTGTTGTTGATGTTTTTCTTCTTGTTCATGTTGATGCTGTTGTTGATGTTTTTCTTCTTGTTCATGTTGATGTTGGTTGCTTCGATCATGATATATATCCTGCTGTTTCCAGACAAAAAATACATCGAAGGAGATAGAAAGAGAGAGGGAGTACGAATAAATAGAAAAAAAAATGAGAAGAAACAAAAACACAACCGGTAAATACAGTACCTTTATTAAAAGTAGTAGTAGTATTAGTAGTAGTATTAGTAGTAGTAGTAGTAGTAGTGGTAGTAGTAGTAGTAGTGGTAGTAGAAGTAGAAGCAAAAGTAAAAGTAGGAGAGAGAAATATCAAGAAGAGCGTTTCTGACCTCGATCAGAAATGCAATTAAAGATTGTTGGGAGATTTGAAAATAATGAAGATGTGATGTTGTTGTTGCTGTTGTTGTTGTTGTTGTTGTTGTCAATGTTGTTGTTGATAATGTTGTTGATGTTGTTGATAATGTTAACTTTGTTTTATTTATATTTATTTATATATATGCGTTGATCATGTTTTGTATTCCAGTCTTTCGAACATGTGAACTATAAAACATCACACACACGCACACACACACGCAGGAGATTGCCTGGACAACAGTGTGGGTTCGGGCGATGGAACTGCAGACGAGGACCAAGAGATGAACGGCAGCCTGGCGAAGCAGCAGAAGAAGAGGGGCATCTTTCCGAAAATTGCCACCAACATCATGAGAGCCTGGCTTTTTCAACATTTAACGGTCAGTGTCTGTGTGTGTGTCTGTGCGTGTGTCTGTGTGTGTGTCTTTGCGAGTGTCTGTATGTCTGTATGTGTTTGTGCGTCTGTGTTGTCTGCGGATGAATTCATGGATGAATAAATAGATGAATGATTGAAATCGTCCTTATGCATGTCTTTCAAATGGTCACTCAATAAATATGTTAAACATGAAAATGTGAACGAATGAATGAACGAATGAATGAACGAATGAATGAACGGACGAATGTATGAGCAATTAAAAGCTGAAAAGAATGAATGAAAAAACGAACGAACGACCGAATAAAGGAATGAAGATGTTTTTCTCTTGCATAGCTTTCGATTTTCTTTCTGAATAAATTATTCACTGCGAGCGAGACGCTGTTATAACAAATCTCCGCGCTTGTCTGTCTGCACGTATGTGTCGGTGTGTGTCTGTTTGTATTCCTGTGTTTGTATGCCTGTGTTTGTATGCATGTGTTTGTGTGTGTCTGGATTTAGTTATATAAGTATGCATGCCTTCGTTTAAACTTGTAAATGTTTGCAATTTGAAAGTATCTGTATGGGTTCATTAGTGTTTCTGTGTGTTGGTTCTTTTGTTTCTAGATTTTTTAAAAGAGAGCAGAACTGAGAGAAAGAGAGAAAAAAAGAGAGAGAGAAAGAGATTCATTTTCATCATCATCTTCTTCTTCTTCCTCCTCCGCATCCTCTTCTTCATCATCATCTTCATTTTGTTTTGTTTAACTTGGCGTGCTCTTGAAGAAAGCAATGATAAATGAGCCCTGCTGTTTGGCTAACCATCATCACACTTATGCCTGCCTGGGTGTATGTATGTATGTTTGTATGTATGTTTGTAAGATTGTTTGTATGTGTGTTTGTATGTATTTTTGTATGTATGTTTGTATGTATGTACGCATATTCCTGTGTGTTGGTGTGCACTGTCAATCCTTCTAGATGGTATGTACATCGTACGTTCGTATTTTTTAATAAAAATGTTTGCCAGTAAGCCTGCTATCTCGCTCGATTCCAATGAATTTCATAATGTAGCACACCAGAAAGTGAAGTTGTGCTGGTGTGGGCGTGTGAGTGAGTGAGTGAGTGTTCACTTCTTTCTTTCTTTTATTATGTTCACTCTGTTTGCTTGTTTGTTTGCGAAGGTCTTATAACTTCTCTCATTATCATAATCCAACTTTAAACACTGAAACCATACACGCATGCATACGTAATGTATGTTTTGTTGGGTCAACACGCACACACACGCACACACGCACGCATACACAAACACACAAACAAGCAAACACACAAACATGTTGTATGTACAAATTGTATACGTTTTTGTTTGTGAAAACATAGTTGCACTTTTTGCGGTGTCTTTTCTGAAAATTTTTGTTTGTGTGGCATACATACATATGCCTTGCCTGGGTGTTTGCGTCTATGTATTTATTCATGTGTACATCTATGTTTGCGTATGTGTGCGTGCGTGCGTGTGCGTGTGTGCCCGTGTGTATGTATGTTTGCGTGTATGTGTGTGTGTATGTGTTTGCTAGACCCTTCAATGTTCTTTTGTTCCTTAAGATGCAAATGCGTGTATGTGTGTTTTGTGTGCGTGTGTTTATGGTTGATACTTTTGTTTGTTCATCATCGTCATTGTTATCATCATCAACAACATCATCATCGTCGTCGTCATCGTCGTCACAACATCATCGTCGTCATCATCATCATTACAGCATCCCTACCCATCTGAAGATCAGAAAAAAGAGCTGGCAGAACAGAGCGGACTCACCTTATCACAAGTCAACAACTGGTCAGTTGATGTTGTTGTTGCTGTTGTTGTTGCGGTTGATGTTGTTGTTGCTGTTAATGTTGTTGTTGCTGTTGACGTTGTTGTTGCTGTTGTTGTTGTTGCTGATGTGTTTGTTTCTCATGTTGGCTCTATTTTTGGCTTTGTCGTTGTATACTAGTATATCATCTATATAATCTGCACAAATGTGTTTAACATTTTCGGGTATGAAAAACGCGAATAGAAAAATAAAAAAATATACAAACAAACAAGCAAACAATCAAACGTTCAAACAATCAGGCACACATACAATCATGAAAACATAAAAACAAATAAACTAACGAACGAACGAACAAACAAGCAGACGGACGGACAGATACGCAAACAAACTCGAAGATAAAAACATCCTTCAAAGGACCAATAGTAAATTGTTTTGTTGTCTTTTCAATTGCAGCCAACCAATGACAATCCTTCTTACGTGTCAGCCTTCATTTCATTGGATGCCTGACGGTTCGGCTATAAATAACAATATATAAGTAATAAATTATAATATGAAAACAATAAATATATCAAACATACATATATACATATGCATGAATTATATATAACAAGTAACCGTATTTAAATAATCATCAATTCAGAATAATACCTAGGTAGTACCTTTTGGAAGGGGTGTGGGTATTCATAGAAACAAACAAACAAACAAACAAACAAACAAATGTAGAAATACAACATTAAAAAAACAAACATGTGTGCCGCGACGAATATGTTAACAGACATACGGTTATAAAATTCTGTTTTGGCGCTCCTCTCTCTCTCTCTTTCTCTCCTTTTCTGCGTCCAACGAACGAACGAACGAACATGACGATCATGCAATAATATTCATTCATTCATTTACGTCGGAAATATATGGTTGCAAAAAATCGTGTGAAAATTTTTTATGTAAGTTTATCATTGCACGGTTCAATCATTAATAAACATGAACTGACACTTTCAATATATGTACAATATATACATGCGTACAAGCACGCACACACACACACACACTTGTATGCATACAAACAAACATACTTACACACACACATACATTTATTTATTACAAATTTATTTACTATAGAGAACATTGTACCTACAATAACATGCATGCCTAAATATCGTTACTGTGTTGATATGTTTGTTGTATAATATTACGGTGCCATTGTTTGTTTGTCAGGGGATGGATAAATGGATGGATGGATGATAAGATGGATGGATGGATAGATGGATGGATGGATAAATGGATGGATGGATGAATAGTTAGATGGATGGATGGAAATAATACAGAGCAATAAGTTGATCTGATTTATGGTGCTTATGAACGGGGGGAGAAGAATTTTTTAACCATTGTTTGCTGGCTTATTTATTTCTCTTTACAGTTTGTTCTTTGTTGATGTTGTTGATGATGTTGTTGATGTTGATGTTGATGTTGCTGTTGATGTTGTTGAAGTTGAAGCTGTTGATGTTGTTGTTGTTGATGTTGTTGTTGCTGAGGCTGTTGTTGCACTTGCAGATTTGACAAAAGACACATCTCAATAACAACAGTTTCAGCGAATACAACAACGGCGCAAACAACAGCAGCAGCATGTTCATCCCCGTCCATCCATCTTTGATGACGTCAGAGAGATGGGTGGGCAAGTTGTAATCGCCTGACCTACATTTCTTCATTTGACCTCATTTTAAATGATCACGTGACGTTTTTGAAGCGGCCAGGCTGTTGCTGTTGATGTTGTTTTTGATGAAAACAAACATAAAAAACGAACGAACAAACAAACAAATAGAAACTAAATATGCGTAGATACATAGAAGCAGGCATCATACACGCTAGCACTATAAGTAAATACATAGAAAAATAAACAAAGAAAGGGACGAATACATTCATATACATAAACAACATACTAACCAATTCAAAAGGAAGACAAAGAAAAGGAAGAAAGAAAAAGGGAGAGGGTTAGGGTTAGGGTTAGAGAGGGAGAGAAAGGGAGAGAGTTAGGGGGAGAAAGGGAGAGGGAGAGAGAGAGAGAGAGAAAAGATTCATGCGATGATTGATGACAGAATGGATGTTCAATAAAAAATAATCATAATCATAATAATAATAATAACATCACAGGTTTATGCCGACGATAAAGATTTTTATTATTATTGAAATTAATCCGAATATTATTATCTGAAAAGTGAAAAAATTTTAAAATGTATTAAGTGAGAATGACGATGATGATGATAATGATGACGATGATGATGACGATGATGATGATGATACAGTTGTAAAAATAACAGCTTCATAAGTCGTTCGTTATGTAGCGGCATTTTTCATGCTTCTTTTTTCTCTCCTCGAGTTATGATGATGATGATGTTGATGGTGCTGATGATGATGTGCATGTTGTTAATGGCGACGGTCCCAGCGACTCAGTTCAAAAACATCATCATCACAACAACATCATCACCATCATCACAACAACATCATCACCATCATCACAACAACATCAATAAACTTTCGACTTGATTGACCAAAGACAAAACAAAGAAATGAAACTCGCTTGTGGGACCGCCCTATCTATTTGTCCGATCACTTTTATTTGTCTATTGTTTACATTTGTTTTTCCATTGTTTATTTTATGTTACTTAATTGTCTATTGTTCATATTTATTTGTCTTTGTTTATTTCCGTTCGTTTAATTTGGTACGATGCTATTTTATTGATTGATTGAAGTTTAATTTGTCAGCTGAGCAAAGAGAGAGAGAGAGAGAGAGAGAAAGAGAGAGAGAGAGAGAGAAGGATAGACAGAGATGGAAAGAGAGAGAGAGAGAGAGAAGGAGAAATGAAGAAACGAACAAATGACTGTAATTAATGGCTAGCCTAAGGTCATGAGTAACTCAAGACTCAAATCATTATGAACAATTATGCCTGCCTCTCTCTCTGTTTCTCTCTCTGTTTCTCTCTCTGTTTCTCTCTCTGTTTCTCTCTCTGTTTCTCTCTCTCTCTCTCTCTCTATGTTTGTGCATTTGTGTTGTGTGTATGTAGGTGCGTTATTGTGTATATTTGTGTGATGTTGTTTTGACTGTTTGGTCATTATCAATATTCTTTTAACCACTACGTAACTATTTTGTATAAATATCATTACTATTACCATTAACATCATCATCAACATCGGCGTCTTCGTCATCATCATCAGCTTTAGAAATACAATGCAACTTGATACTTTGTATTAACACCGCCAGGGTTTGATGTGTGTACAACATATGTGTGCGTGTGTGTTTGTGTGCGCGTGCGTGTGTGTGTGTGTGTGTTTGTGTATGTCTTAATTTGTTTCGTTTGGCACAAATGAATGTTGTTGGCACAAATATATGTATTTGTCTAGTTGATGTTGTTTCAAATATTGTTGTTGTTGTTGATGTTGATGTTGTTGTTGATGTTGTTATGGTGTTGTTGTTGATGTTGTTGTTGTTGATGTTGTTGTTGATGTTGTTGTTGTTGGTGGTGTTGTTGTTGTTTCTTTGATTGATGTCAGTTTGGGTGTGCTTTAATTATCAACCTCCATCTCAATGGCTCGATGTGTTTTCTTGTTTGCCCCTTTGCTTGTGTGTGTGCGTGTGTGTGCGCGTGCGTGTGTGTGCTCGTGCGTGTGTGTGCGCGTGCGTGTCTGTGTGTGTGCGTGTGTGTGTTTACACGATGACCTTTTTCAATTCTACTTTTTGGATTTTCATTCGGAATGTTTTTACGTATTGTTTGTGTGGTTTTTTGCACAGACAAATATACACAGACAATTGAATACACGCACAAACGCAAACACAAACACACAAACGCAAACACACAAACACACACACAAACACACATACAGCAGTCAATAAATTGTTGGATTTTTTTTCGCTCCACTGCCTGCCTGTATTGCAAGCTCCCGCATGGGTTCATAATTCTATTATTCCTGTGCGGGCCACCCTCTTTCTTTCTCTCTCTCTCTCTCTCTCTCTCTCTCTCTCTCTCTCTCTCTATTACATTCTTTCATTTCTACATTCCTCCAACCATCCTTCAAACATTCCTGATTCATTCTTTCAATCACACAACGTGGAAAAACAAAACAACGACGTTATTTTTAATGAACACCTTCCAAGTAGGTCGCACACCAACCACGCTGCAACCATCGTCATCATCACCACCACCAACAACAACAACAACGACAACAACATCAACAAAATAAAATTATCAACGCCATCAACACCGCAACAACAACATCAACAACAACATTAACACAACAACAACAACATCAACACAACGACAACATCAACACAACGACAACATCAACAACATCAACACAACGACAACATCAAGAAAAGAGCGGGCACCTCATTCCTTTGCGTTCAGGCTTCGTTTATTTGATGCTTACTAAGTTCAAAGGTCATTGATCGTTTCCTTGGTCGTGGTAGTAGTAGTAGTTGTTGTAGCTGTAGTGGTGGTGGTAGTAGCAGTTGTAGCTGTGGTGGTGGTAGTAGTAGTTTTCGTCGCAGCAGTATGTGTTTATGTTAGGTTGTATTCTTGCAGTTTTCAATATTGAGGCTAGCAAGTAGTAGTAGCAGCAGCAGCAGTAGCAGCAGTAGTAGTAGTAGTAATTCAGGCATTATTACTAATGTTAGTGCTACAAGTGGCGACGGTGGTAGCTTCAGCAGTGGTGTTATCAGCATCGGTATTAATAAACGCGTGTGGTAGATAAGATTATGATGATGATCAGAGGTGGTCGTAAAGAATGCCTCTTCCTCTTATCAATTGCATCTCCAAACGTCAAATTTCTCCATATTCTTTCCATCATTTCCATTCTTTTATTTTCATTCATTTTTAATTCTACGCCACCCAATACTGCCCACTCACTCACTCACTCACTCACTCACTCACTCACTCACTCACTCACTCACTCACTCACTCACTCACTCACTCACTCACTCACTCACTCACTCTTTTCTTGACTAAACTTCACATCTTTGGATTCACATTTGACTGTGTTTGTTTATATGACTGTTTGTTTGTTTATGTAATGTCTGTCTGTTAGTCTGTCTGCCTGTTTGCTTGTTTGTCTGTTTGTCTACTTGTATCTCGTTTCAATGTGATCTCACAACTAAAACAACAAAGCCCAACGAACAGTGTTGTAATTATTACTTGAAATTGTACAAACAAAACTTGGAGAGTTTTTCAACAACAACATCTTCTTACAACAACATCAACATCTTCTTACAACAACATCAACATCACTTTATTACTACACAAATATCAGCAACACTTTACAGACAACAACAACATAATAAACAACAACAACATCAACAACAACAATATAACGTGCATTTTGTTGTGCATGTGACTGCTTGTGAGTGTGTGCCATTCTTTATTGCTTGTCTCGCCCATTCATATTAACACGAACGCACACGTACACACGCGCACACGTACACACACACATAAAAACAAATGCTCATACAGATAACATGTACAAGCAATTTCAACATCAACAACAAAATTATTAAACTACATTAACTTCAAATTCGGTAAATGCACCAACAGCAACAACAAACAACAACAACAACAAAATCATAAACACGCAACAACTTTCATATCACTTTATAATTTGATATTAAGCAAAAAAACTAAATAAACAAACGAAGCCCTGCTATTGGCCAGCAAAAGCGGAAACGGAAGTAAATAACGTGACCGGAAGTTATGGAACTATCGAGAATTCTGACGAGATGTGACGTAATGTAACGTAATTTTTCCGATCCTGATCATATGCCGCCGTGATGATGACGATGACGATGATAGCATTTTATTATTGTTGTTGGATATGCCTGTATTTTTGTAACGATTGAAACGTGATGTTGTTGTTGTTGTTAATGTAGTAGTTGTTGATGTTGTTGCTGTTGATGATGTTGCTAATGTAGTTGTTGTTGATGTTTTTGTTGTTGATGTTGTTGTTTTTAATGTTGTAGTTGGTGATGTAAGAGTTGTAGCCATGGAAATTGTGAGAGTGTTTGATGTTTCTGTGAGTCGTACCGTAAATTATTGTTCTTAGAATTATTAATCAATTATCTTCTGCAACTGTAATATGCCTGTAAGCCTCAAGTAAACATACTTGTTGTTCATGCGGCGATAGGACTACATCAATATGCATAAGACCTCATTAATATGCATAGGACCTCATCAATATGCATAGGACCTCATCAATATGCATAAGACCTCATTAATATTCAAATAACCTCATTAATATTTACGAGTGCAGGTTCATAAACGCGCGACGACGGATTGTTCAGCCAATGATCGACCAGTCCAACAGAGCAGGTAAGTATCGTTCCAGTCTGCCATCTTTCGAAAGTTTTCAATTTATTCTTGACTATTTTTTGTTGATAACAAGGAGATTAAATATAATAAAAAATAATAGTCTTCATCCTCATCATTTTCATTCATTCGTTCATTCATTAATTCATGCGTCATCATCATCACCACACCATTTTCATCATCATCATCAGGACCAGTAAGTGCGTACAGTCCAGAAGCTGGAGCCATGTACATGGACAGCCAGCAGATGATGAGAGGTGAGATGAAGAAGATGATGATGATGATGTTGTTGAAAGAGGCACAAGAGTAATTTATTCATTCGTTCATTCCATTCATCCATCTATCCATTCGTTTATTTTTCTACTCATTTTGTTCGTAAAAACTTTTCTGTGTTTCTCCTAGAAAAAATTTTTTTTTGTACTTTTCCAATTTTTTCTTTTCTATATTTTTTCAGCCTCCCTATTTTTCTAGTTTTTCTTTGTTGTGTCAGGCAAATAAATTACTCTTTGCGGCTCGTTAGTCGAAGCGAGGCGACGTGCGTGCATGAAATACGCAAACTCATGCCCGCCTGCCTGCCTGTCTGCCTGCCTCACTATCAAATTCTCTCTCTCTCTCTCTGTTTATTTCTTTCTTTGGCTGTCTCTCTCTTCTCTTTGCTTTGTCTCTTTCCATGTTTTTTCGCCGTTCGTTTTCGTGTTTGTTTGTTCGTTTGTTTGCATGTTCGTTTCCGTGTTTGTTTTTTGTTTATCAGTTTTTGTCTACGGTTGCCAGTGCATCTTTGTGTATCTGTGTGGTGTTAATACGTCTGCGTACCGTCATACGTCACAAGGCACTTCAATCTTCACCACCCTCATCACCATCATCATCATCACCCTCATCATCATCATCATCAACATCATCATCATCGACAACAACAACATCATCATTACCACAACCACCTCGTCGCCGTGGCAACGTTGCATTATTTATATGTAATCCGGTATACGTAATCATTGTCACTGAGAATAAGTAGGTCGAGAGAGGTCAAAGGTGGTGACCTACTTTCTCGTTTTGTGAGTGGAGGAAAAAGAAATGCGAATAAATGCATGGATAGATTGATGGATGGATGGCTGCCTGACTATTGCCTGGCACAAACAAGGAAACGTGCACACACAGGCACGTACACACGCAAGCGTATGCATTCATAATGGCACCGCACGCACGCATATACGTACATACATACGTACGTACATACATACGTACACACACACACACACACGCGTATAGAGAGGCACACGGACACGTAGAGGCATTGCTGAAGAGAAGAAGGAAAGCCATAATAATCTCCGGATTAAACTAAGTTGCTCGTTTGTGGTAATAATGAAGATCCGTCTGTGCTGTGCTTTGCATGTATGTCGACATGCGTGCGTGTGTGTGCGTGTGAGTGTATACATACGTGCGTGAATATTTATCCGTACGTTTATGTCAGAGTGAGTGTGTTTGTTTGTGCCTGCCTGAGTTTGTCTTCATCATGTTAATGTGTTTGTCGTTTTTGCATACTTCTGTCTGTGCGTCTGTAAGTTCCTGATGTTTTTGCTAGTGAGGAATGATGATCTGTGTGTGTGTGTGTGTGTGTGATCTCTACATAAGTATTCTTCTGTCTGTCTGTCTCTCCGTCTATCTCTCTCTGTGTGTCTGTGTGTGTGTGTGTGTGTGCATTAACAGATGTCAATGGTGGCTTTTGAAGTACGACCTTTGACCTCTGCTTGAAAATGAGCAGCTGCGTACACGTTCATTTGGCACGACGCCCGCACACGAACACACGCGCACGGGATATAACTTTTCTAACACGCACAGCACACACACATATATAAATATCATTCTTCCAATGTATGTGTATATATATATATATATATATATATATATATATATATATATATATATATATATATATATACATACATACATATACATATATATCAAAGTTAATTATTGCATTATATAACTATATATATTTTTTTTCCAAAATTTTATTGACAATTATAATTATATATATATAGTATATATGTTATCATTATTTGAGGAGGCTTCATTAGAATCAGAGTATTTCTCGAACTGCTCGCGTCCATTTATTGAAAGTTAACTAATGACTAACTATTAATTAGTAATTAATTAATAATTAATTAATTAATTATTAATTAAACTAATGACTAACTATCCCCACGTGCGTTGCAGCGATGCCAGGCATGGCAGACATCTACGGCATGTCCCCATCCTCCTACCCACAGATGGGGGCACTCAGGGCTGCTCACCCCCAGGTCTGTTGAATGAATAGGTGGATGGTTGAATGAGATGGATAGATAGATGAATTGATGAACCAATTTAATTAATTAATTAATTAATCAATTAATTAATTAATTAATTAATCAATCAATCAATCAATTAATGAGAGAATGAATAATCGGATATGAATGATTGACGTATTTGTATGATGTCACCGTGATGATAGCCAAAAAAACGAAACGACCACAAAACAGGCGATGCTGCTGCCGAGTCACCCGCACTACGGCATGATGATGGGGGGGCACATGGCCCACATGCCCTCTATGTACGGGCTCGCCAGCCCCCAAACTCCACCCATTCACCCCAACATCGATCAGATGGGCCACATACAAGATATCCATGCCGGATGAGGGGGTGTGGTGATGGCGCGCCGATGTTGATGGACAACACGGAGGTCGAACTGTAGGAATCATTATTAATAAATAACAATGTAATATAAACATACATTTGTACTCGTTTGTTCGCCATTTCAAATGTGTCTGTTTGTTTGTGTGTTCGTTCGTTTGTTTGTGCATGCGAGTTACACAACAATACCGCTATGTATGAGTGTATTTATTTAGCGTTGTGGTATTGTGTTGTGTGTTTACCGTATTAAGTGTGTACCGTGTGTGATACGTTGCGTCATTTTGTTATTATTACAATTTATAAATGCTCTGTTCATATGTACATAAACATCGTTCACTTTATTAATGTTGTTGTTGTTCTTATTATTATTTTTATTATTATTCTTATTATTATTGCAGTTATGATAGTTGTCAATGTTTATTTACTTTGTGTATTTGTGCCGCCCCCGTCTCAATCACGCAGTCGTTAACAAGATAAGACGGCGTTTATTTCCATCACTTAATGATAATAATAACAAGAGTAATAATTAATAATAATAATTTTTGCTGTTATTATTATTAAATTCATAAACACGATAGAATAATGATAACGATTATAAATGATCACCTCCCCACTGAACTTTTAATTTCGTGGCACTAGACTCAATTGATTTTTATGCATAATAAACATTTTTTCTCAATCATCATCATCCTCTCTCATCATCAGCAGCATCTTCTCTCTCTCTCTCATCATCAGCAGCATCTTTCTTCTCTCTCTCTCTTCGTCACTATCTCTTATAGTTCCTGAAATATTATTATCTCGCTAATTGTACTCGACTCCTCAACTCAACTCGTTCGTTGCACGTTCGACAGCATCAGGGTGTTTTAACTTTCATCAGCGCCACCTGTTCTTACTGACGTGCGTCATAATAATGTTTATTATTTTAATTATAATTAATTATATTATTTTAATTATAATTAATTTTATTATTTTCACAATTATTAATTTTATTATTCTATTAAACCTCATTGTCCCGATGCAGTTCACATGATTCAGTTCAAGTTTGTGCTGTGCTTATGATCATTTTTTCTTTCTTAAACACCATGATCTGCTTTCATTTAGTTTAGCACAAAATTATTATTATTATTGTTGTTGTTGTTAAAATTATTATTAATATTATTATTATTAACGTGTTGGTGCGGATTATGACATTCGATGATGACTATGATGAGTCAGTCGTTCGTGATGAATCCAGGAAGGGGCTCGCTGCAAATGTTCGTCAACACAACGATCCTCAATAACGAAACTGAAATATTATATTATATATAATATTATTTATTATTATCATTTATTATTATTATTCTTATCATTAATGTTAATTATTATCATTTATTATTATTATTCAAATTTTTGTACGCCATTCAGAACATTAAAACTCCGTATATAAATTTAAAAAAATATTTGATTGAAAATTACAAATAAATAGATAAACGAACGAACGAATGAATGAACGAATGAATGAATGAGTGAACGAATGAATAAATTTATGGCAATCGATCAATCAATCCACTAATCAGCGTCATGAAATCATTAAAACACATACGCGAACATCATTTTTATTTATAGTTGATCGTTTTAAGGAAATATCCTCAACTCTCATGTTCTCTGTTACAATTGGTAATTATTAATAATAATTATTTAATAATAATTATTATTATTATATAATTATGATAATATTAAAAATCACAGTTTACAATTATGATCATTATTTTATTCTGTACAAATTTGTGCTTGCATGTCTTTCTAAGGACGAAAATCATAATAAATCGATTGATTCACTGGTTGATTGGCGTCTGAGTTAGAGCAAGAATAATAAAATTTATAATAATATGAATAATATAAATAATAATAATTATAATAATAATAGTAGTTTTATGGTGACGATATATTAATAATAATGAAAATATCGTCACTACTACGAAAGATGCTCACAGAACTTATTTCAATTGAACTAAGCATTGCTGTGTGGGACAACAAGAAAAATTATTGTTGTTATTATTATCATTTATTATTATTATTATCATTATCATAATTTATTATTGTTATTATCATAATTTATTATCATTATTATTATCATAAATTACTTGCGGTCAAACTTTGGTTTCTTGAAAGTTAGTTAACATAGCATAACATGACTGACTGCTTCGTACGATGACAAAAAACGAATTGATGGTCACAAAGAATTGTAGAAAAATTATGGAAAAAATACCAAATAATAATAATTATAACAATATTTAAAAATAAAAATGAACAATAATAATTATAAAAAATAATAATCACAATGATAAAAGAGCTAACGTTTTTTCTTTACAATTAAATCACAATAATTAAAATAATATGAAAATGCTCATACATATAAATATATATATACACTACACACACACATACAAATAGATACACGAATGTACACACATATTTACATGCGTGCACCCATTTATAAGCATATATATATATATATATATATATATATATATATATATATATATATATATATATATATATATACATATTTGTACATTACAGAGACAGTTGAGTATTTGGTTCATACGTGCAAAACACACACACACACACACAAACACTCACACACAAACACACACAGATAAACATACATACAAACATACACATATATCAGGACACATGCCTACAGTTGGTTGAATACATCTCATGTACAAATGAATGAAACCATCACGAAATCATTTAGCTATGTTTGGAACTTACATGAATGAAAAGAAGTTATAATAATAAAGATAGTTTTTATTTATTAATAATAATAATATTAAATTTAATAGATAGATAAATCAACTCTTAAAATTATTTGAAGAGAAATTTGTTTTATTATTATTAGTAGTAGTATTATTACTGTTGTTGTTGCTGTTATTAATTTTGCTATTCCTAACTAACCCACTGTTCAACATATTATTATTGTTAGTAGAAGATGTGATAACGGTAGTAGTGTTACTGCTACTACTACTACTACTACTACTATTATTATTATTATTATTATTATTATTATTATTATTATTATTATTATTATTGGTGTTGTTATTGTTGTTGTTCATGGAGGAACATTCACTCAGAGTACTATTACTATTACTATTGTTACAACTATTACTATTACTAAAATTAATTGTGGTGGCGGAGTTGGTAGTAGTAGTGGTGTTGCAGATGTTGAAGAAGTTAATGTTTTTAACAACGTTGATATTAATGTTATTGTTGTTGATATTTCTTCGATGATTGGTGTTGAAACTGTTGTTGTTGAAACTGTTGTTGTTGTTGTTGTAGACAGGCATATTGTAGCATGGACTGCCGCCATTATTAAAGCAGTACACAGTGCCATCTACATCGGGCCCGTAGTTACTGTTGTTGACATTATTGGGTAGCGGTGATTTGTGCTGCGAGTAGTAAGTTGCAGGCTGGTCGGTGTAGTGATCGTGGTTGATGGTCAGTCTGCCAGGACGCGCCCACGTGTAAACGTTGCCATCCTGACACGAGGTCATGAAACAGTCCTCAAGGAATATCAGAGAGTTCAGTCGCTCGTTGGCAATCTTCTTGGAAGTCAGTGGTTCGATGAGAGGGATGTCTCGCAGACCGGGGCACAGGGATGTGAATTTGGTGTTTGAAGATGACGTTGTTGTTGTGCATGCAGTTGATGACGTAGTTGTAGATGTTGATGAGGAGGAAGACAACGACGATGATATTGTTGTTGTGGTAGCGCTGCTGCTGCTGCTGTTGCAAGGTATCACATGATTGCTGCTCTCTTGTTTCCTGGTGCTGTTGTTGTTCCTGTTGAAGAAGCTTGGGAGGGTGCTCGCACTGTAAACTTTGAACTTGCTCGGTTTTGATTTCTTACTGAAAGATGTTGTGACGGTTGAAGAGGTGGTTGTCAGGTTGACTGAGTTGTTGACGGCTTCACTCATGTCGCTCGATGTTGATTGGCTGGTCAGTCGCGATGAGCCAGATGATGAGGAAAGCGTGGAGGATGCCTTGAAGTAACCTACTGAGTTTGCCGTTGTTGCTGCAGTTTTAGTTGTTGTTTTTGTAGTTGTAGGAACACTTGCGGTGGTTGTTGCTGTTGTTGTTGTTGTACTGGTCACTGAAGGAGTTGTCTCCTGCTTTTTGCTGCTTTCATTTAGCGTTGAATTTCTTATTAATAAAGATGGCAACACAGTGGAAAACTTTGATTTAGAATCTGGATTTTGATGTGTGGAGAATGATGCATTGCAATCAGGAACATTGGTTGGTTCTTGCGGTTGAGGGAGACATGTTTGTTTCAGGATGTCATCAGTGATGTCCCATAGACAGAGTTTTGTATCTTGACCCACAGATCCCAATCGATACGAGGCCATCTTCACCTCAATGTCCAATCCACTCATCTGACTTCCACTACAGTTCCCACTGCTGCTGTGGCATCCACCAATTCCATCGAAATTGCCATTGAAGTGTGAAGTAGTGTAAGGTGGCTGGTGACTGCAGTTTTTGAAGCTACTGCTGCTACTACTGTTGCTGCACAACTTGTGTCTGCCAGTAGTTGTTTGAGGTTGCACACTCTCCAGGTCGTTCACCTTCGTACAGAGGTGGCTCTTGAGAATGTCGCTGCATGCAGTGACAACAACATTTCCACAATCATTGTTGCCCTCCCCACTGCCTCCATACCCTCCGCATCCTCCTCCGATCATGGCTTCTTCATCGTCGCCGTCAGCTTCATTGACGTCATCTTCATCCCTGACAAACGGGTCGAAAGCCACCACATTGACCCAGGAAGAATGTCCTCTCCCTCTACAAACGACTCTCGAATGTTGGAACGAGTAGATGGTCACCAGATCATCTTCACCCCCTGTTGCCAGATACAAACCATCCGGCGACCAGCAGACGCACAACAAACCACCAAAATAACTTTTCATCTGACTGATGAATTCAAACTGGTCAAAGTTGTAGACTCTCAAGAAGCCATCATCACAAGCCATTGCTATGAACCTTTCAGTGTAAAATGAAAAACTATTAGCCTTTAATGTAATTTAAAAATAACATCATTCAAGATAGGAAACACAACATAAAATAATCTGGCAGTCAGGTATATACATATAATATTCCTGATGCTAACCTGGAGCAAGGAGAAAAAGCAAATTCATTAACAGTGGGTCCTCCATCCAAAGACCATTTATAGAGAGGATTCCTGGTGCTTTTGGTCTTGCAAGTGTACACGCTGTAGCCCTGTCCTTGTTTGAAAATTTGAAAGATGGGTGTGCCCGGACAGGGAGGGAGTTGTTCATGGTAGACGTACAACTGGCCACCAGTGTGTGAAACTAAGAACTGGTTTGGAGAGTCTGGCAACCATTTAATGCATGTCACTCTCGCTTTGTCAATCAAACGCTGTAAAATTATTATAACAGCTTGCACAGAATTATTTTTAACCAAATTTCATTAATAAAATTCATCTAGGAGATAGATGAACACACAACATAAACAAACACAAGTCTTGTAATTAATAAATAATTAAAGAAACAAAAAAATTATGTAAAAAACAAATTGTATTTAAACAATGAAAAGTGACAGTTTCACCAACCAAGGCACCCACCTCCTCATTGAACAATTTACTGCTTTCTTTTCCAAGTGGGTTGACAAGTTGTACTTGGCCTGCAGAGAAGCCAATGATAAGAAGGAGCTGATCCGATCTAGCTGCCACTGCATTGAAATCGTGGCATGTTGGTGACGTTCCTCGATATATCCTCTTGTCTAATGGCCGAGTTAAATCAGCTGCCTGATAATTATTTGAATCTTATAAATAAAAAAATTCATTTTGAAGGATTCAAATATGAAACACACCTTTTTAATCCCATTATAAGCGTAGATATAAATTTCTTTCCCAACGTTGAAGCAGATTCTGTCCTCGAGGGCGCCAGTATCCTGGGATTTCGATCGTACTAACGAAACTTTGACAGGCAGATTGCTGTTGTTGCTGGTGGAACCGTTGCTAATCGGTGGCCGGGTCGGTCTTGCATATTCGGAATGATTAAGTTTTCGGTAGACTCCTTCCCTGGTATTAAACTGGTCTCTCAAATCTTTCGAGGAATCGTTGATGTTGTTACTGTTGTTAATATTATTAATAATATTATTACGGTTATTCATGAAATTATGGTCCACAGCAGCAGCAGCAGCAGAAGGAGGGTAGCGACTGACTGGCCCTCCTGACGAATCACTGAAGTTAGACATTTTACATTTTAAAATGAACTTATCTTGTGACTGAAAATTTGTTCGGTCGAGAATTTTGTTACTACATTAATTCACATTTGGATCGGCAAATAGTTTATTTATGTCGACTAGATTACCAAAAACAATGAATCGTCAAAAGCATATTCATCTTGTTCAAAATTTACCTGTCTTGCGATGCTCACGCATGCATCTAAACTCGTTAAACATGAAGTGAATCGGCGTAAAAACCCAGACGTATAACGGAGTTTTCATTTCATACGGCCATCACAACATGACACACGTATGCACCACCTAACAGTATGGAACTGTGAAACTGGTGGAAGACGCTTTGCTTTCAAAGCAGGCCGCCTCAATTATTACACTACCTCGCACTTGACCACTGCCCACACTATGGAAACCATGGAGCTCAGTTACACGCACGACTCAAACCCAAGCAGCACACATTCCATCGAATAAAAACACGATACTTCACGTTAGAAGCATCTTACGTAAATAACGGAACGCATTAACACACATCAGACAAATCTATTCATATAGATCACAAAGATACATCAAATAAAAAATCATATTTAACTACAAACTCAAACATGCTCAACGTCTAAGTCGTTCAAAATGTTACAATTTAAGCAACAAGTTACCAAATGTCAGAAAAATTCCACTCAAAAGACAGTGAGAGGACGTGCCAAAAGATATTAAATGGTTTGCACCTCACAATTTTGAATGAAAGATTGCACAGACAAGTTCATTTAAACAAATTAGAAGGTTAGTAATTAATTTATTTGCATCTATGGTGCACCATTAAACATTCAGCAATTTATTTAATTATTAGCAGTGGCCTCTTCCTTAATGCTGATGTTAGAGTTGCTCTTGTTGTAGTTCGATCCAGCAGCGGAATTGTTCATGGATCCACTTTTAATCTGGGCATCACTGTTGTTAGAGTTGCCCTTGTTGTAGTTCGATCCAGAAGTGGGGTTGTTCATGGATCCACTTTTAATCTGGACATCAGAGAAGCAGAACTTCAGAATGTATGGGTTCTTACCAGCTGTCAGAAAAAATTGCAAAAATTATTATTCAACAAATTGTGAAATCATATATATGCTAAAAAAAGATGGAGGAATATGTGAGGAAATTAACTAATGAACAATCATTTTTTGATAAATCAATTCCTTACAAGCCAAAATCTGCTATTTACAACATTGTCCAAGAAAAAAAAACAAAATTTTGACACGGAGGTATAGGAAAAAATGATTGTGATAAGAAAGAAGATAGATGTTGCATAAAACAATTGCAATCGCACGCATACACGCATAGAATTAAGAAACAAACGAACGCTAGAACTAACAAGGGTTAGGCA